TTTGATGCCCAGTCGGGGCACGTATGGGAGGCAACCAATCAATGTTTCTCACATTGATGTTTTTTTCTTTCTCTCTCTCTCCTTATCCCTTCCCCTCTCTCTAAAATCAGTAATAACCTATCCTCGGATGAGGATTTAAAAATAAAAAAGGCAAATTTTACTCATTACAAGATCTGGGTTATAACAACTAGGGTTTGGAGCTATAAAAAGATACTATGCTAAGTGAAGAAGCCAGGTATAAAGGCCACACGCTGCACGACTCGATTTCTATGAACCACTGGGACAGAAAGCGGACTCGGTGCCGGGGCTGAGGAGGGGGGAACTGGGAGTGGCCGGCCGCAGGTGGAGGGCTGCCTTTCGGGGTCATGGAAATGCTCTGGAATTGGATAGTGTGACGGGCACACCACCTCGTGACTGTACTAAACAAATCATTGAATTGCAAACTTTAAAGTGATTAAGTTTATGTCATGTGAAATTTTATATTATGTGAATTATGTCTCAATCTACAAAAAACCCTAATGACTTGGTTTTTGTCTTATTTTTTGAATTTGTACCTTAGCATAAATTTAAAGGCATTGTTTTATAGTTAAAAGGCACAGTTAGTTCTAAAAGAGTTCATCTCTCTGCAGTATCGATCACCTAACCTCTGCTCGCTTGTAAATCACAGGGACACACACAGTCAAGTCAAAACCAAAGGTGAAAAAGATGCTAACTTGGGATCTTGTTTAGAAGCTCTTTATTTCGATTTTAAATATAAGTATTATCTGGGCAAGGCTTGTATTATGTAGACAATGTAGCTCGAGATAAAGATTTTCAACAACACAGCAATTCTAGTCCTCAAAGGCATCTACGAGTAACGACTTTCCTGAGTGGGTCAGAGGAACTTGGCTCCCACACTCTCCTTTCCCCCGCCTTCCACAGCCTCTTTCTAGGAACGTGCTAAATCCTCACCCCAGATTACATTCTGAAGCCGGCTGCGGAGCCCATCCTCTCACGCGATGCCTTGTATACGGCAGGTATACAAAACACACAAAAATGCTTGTTCAATAAAAGCATCAGTGCTTCGGAAAGTAGTCACTGGATGCGCCAGCTGTCTCCGAAGAAGAGGACAGGGCTTTGTGACCTCCGGTGTCATGGTCAGAAAGCAGGACACATTCATAGGAAGCTGGGAGAGAGCTTTAAACAGATACTATCAATTAACAGTCAATAAACGTATAGCTTGTGACCTACCCATTGTTGCCACTACTTAGCATTGCTATGATGCTCCTTTGAGAAAGCAATAAAGAAAGAAACAAAGTATCTACTCAATTAACACTATGTGCTCCCTCCTTAACTCTTACAGACAAACTGCCAGGTTATAGTAAAAATAAAACAGGGTGTCAGAGTCCTGTGTTTATTCAGTATTTAAAAACCGCATGACATTCAGTGGGCAGATGTCGAAATGGATCGCAAATTTTGCAAAGCATTCTCTCTGATACGCGGCTCACCTACATTCTCTACCCTGGGCAGGAAGAAAGAACTTGACTCTCATCCTGACATGTTCAAGGCGAAGCAAGCCCTCTGCTTTCCTTACGCTGACCACGAATAATTATTCCATGATCAACACGCCCTCGGAATTGTCAGCAATCAAGGACGGACACTGGGGATTTGTGTAAGATAAACAAAGGCACTGATTTTCACTCCGTTTTATTTAGGAGAACAAGTCGGGCACGGACGCGGAACTGTACCTCTTCTTTAGTGCACTTTTCAAATGATAATTTCTCCCACTGTCACCATTAAATCTTAATCCATTCCAGCTCCTTGCATGGGTCATTGAGCCTATATGTACTGCTGTTATTTTAAAATGTTTCCCCTTGGTAGGGAGCGAGGGGGAGAAGAGATGTTGAGAGCCAGATGGGCCTCTTCACAGTTCATTTATCAAACCTAATACGCTGGGCTCCACCCTCCTCTCACTCGCTATTGCGGTTAAACTTCCATATAATTCGGTAATCATTTTCATTATCAGACAGTGACCCTAAAGCAGCCTATCCTGGGACACCCAGTCCTCGCAGCTGCTCTTTCTCTGCCTTTTCCTACAGTAGAGCCGCAGAACCTCGCCGTTTATTAGCTGCAGACTGACCTCTGGGCTGCAGAGGTCAAGAAGGGGTCAGATCAGAGGGCTTGCCCAGTTCTTTAAAAGCTATAACAAGCTGTCCGTCAGGCAGAGTGGAGTGTGTAAACAAAGCCAAGTCTCCAGAAATCCCGTCCCGCTTCTGTTAACACTCAGCCTGCATTCACACGGCTCTGCCGCCGCACCCGGGACCATTCAGCTCCGGGGAAGCGAGCAGACAGCCCTAATAAGCCTATTTGAGAGGGTTGTTTATGGGATTACCAAGCTTGGGGAAGGAAACCCACAGCCTGATGGGCCTCTGGAACCGCAGGGCTGTGTGACACTGTGACAAACTCAGTTACCCTGAGTCACGCAGAATTGACACTTCCCTCCAGAAGCTAAATTACAGGGGACATATGCTTTTGGTTTGAGAGACTTCAGTGAGTCGTCCCAAACAATGGCTTGGCTCCTGGCCTGAGAGAGATATATATATATATTTTTTTTTTTGCTATTTTTTTGTTGAATTTATTGGGGTGACACTGGTTAATAAAATTATATAGGTTTCAGGGATGCACATCTATAATACATCATCTGTATTTTTATTGTATTGTGCACTCACCATCCCGCCACGCCTCCGTCCATCACCATGTGTCCCCTATACCTTCTTCTACCTCCCCCACCCCCACCTCTGGTAATCACCGCACTGGTGTCACAAATACCTAAAACCAAGTTCCAAGTTTCTAACATTTCTCGCTGACACGGTCACCCCGGACAAGCCCGCAGAGGAGGGGAACGGGAAGCCCGCGTTGGCGCAGACCAAGGGTCCGCCAGCCGCTGGGCCTCGGCGGACCTGGATCCCTCCAAGCGTCCTGTTCACAGCGCGCTGTCTAACGTGCAGCGAAGGTCATGACGGCCATCTGTATTTAACTGTCAGAGGAAACATCCTACTATCTCATCTAACGGATCCGAGCGCTCCGTGAAAGGGAAACACCGCAACCTCCTGCTGGCCGTGGGCGGGCTGATCCTCGCCCAGCCCGCCTTCCCTCGTGGGGCTGCGAAGCGCACAGCAGGCCGCCGGGTACAGCGGGGCGGCACAGGCGTGGGCGGTCCCCAGCCTCAGCGCCACGCCCGCTGGCCACGGGAGGCCATGCCCCCCAGACGCCGGCGCGGCTGCGACGAGGGCACGGAACAGCCGGCTAGCAGCCTGTCTGTGCGGATGGCGCGGACGAGTGTCTGAGCGAGGGCACGACGAGACACCGTGTGGGGGTGAGGACTGGGTGGGGCGCTGAGGGCTTTCAGCCCTCGGAGGACTTGCTCCCGAGCCTTCCTCTCCGCTGCTTCCCTGCAGGGAGGCCGCAGTGTTGGCTGCTCGGCGCTGTCTTGCCCCCTCCCCTAGCATAAAGGACTCGAGAAGTTTTGTTTCAGATGCTACACCACATCGACTTCAACCCTGGCTCCAGCTCCTGATTACTTGTCAGCAGGAAGGCCCGGAGATGCCGAGAGCAGCCACCTCTTAGGCCATTGCGGCCATGTCGCCTGACCATCAGTGAGAGGAAACCCTTAGTCACCGCCGGAAGGCACCCAGCAGAGGCCCTCCGTGCGCAGCGCCTGGTCTCTGAGGCGTGGGGTGGGCGGGAGAGAGATCGCAGGGTGCTTTTCTCTCTTTCCCCCTTTCCTGTTTAATAAGATCACCGGGGAAATATGAAAGGTCAAACCCAGAGAGAGACACCTCTGCGATGTCCCACAGCGATGTTCCTTTATTTAATGAAATGGGCATACTTTACTGACTACACATACTCAACTGTAACACACGGAACAATTTTAAATTACTCATGGAAACTTAATTGGAAATCATTTAATGCCTGTTGTTGACATTGTCACAAACTCTCTGACACACAACAGAAAAGGAGAGAAAGAGAGAAGATCCCTGGGAGTTTTAAAATGATTGTTCCAGCAAGTCTGAATTTAGAAATAATACCCGTATCTGAGAGAGCAGCTTGCTGATACCGTCGGAACAGAGAGTTCATTCTCTTCACTACCTTCTTGCTTGGAAATGCTCATCTTCAGCCTGTTCAGACAAATCTATTTTTATGATAATTGTTACGAGTAAAACCATCAATTATTGCAAATTCTGTTGCATGAACTCATTTGGAGAATACGGTGACTATCAATAAATGTTCCTGACTCCCGGGCACACAGAATCTTTAAGCATCAAGTAAGACTCTGAGACCACGTACAGCGTAATCTTCCCGATTCCTCTCCCACCTGCTCAGAGATAGATGCCAATTCAACAGTTTTTACAAACTATAGACCTAAGGGTGAACCGGAACCTATGGGGGAAGTTGGTCCAGACTTCCACCCACCAACTGTCTGTCCAATAAGAGCAGGATGCCACGGGAGGCAGCATGCAAGCATCGGTTCTGCACAAACTGATGATTTGTACAAACTTTCTTCCAGGAGCAGCTTTCTGCCCACAGGTATGTCCACGTACAGAAACACTAAAAGGGAGCCAAAGTAACTCCGACTTGGTAAATTCTAAAATTGATAAATAGACAACGTTCAAGCAACCTAGACACCAGTTCCACCCGAATCGCAATGCTGGTCTTTTCAGACCATTGATTAAAAGGGTTCCTTGGCCTCAGGTACTTATATTGAATTATGCTCAAGGTGCAAACATTTATGCTAAATGTCATACTGGGTTTGATTCACATACACAACCAGAAGACACCACGGATCATTACAATTAACATGGGTCCCATGTGCAGGAAAGCTAACCTTGGCAGGAAGCATACTTACCTGGCTTATTTTTCAAGGCCCCTCAACGAGAGGCATGGGACCAGCCACAAGGAAGGGCTAAGCCAGACACAGGCCTGTTCCCCAGGGACAAGTCCCATCTCACAGCAGAACTGACCTGGCGTGCCATTCCCTCCGCAGCGTCTGGCGCGTGGTGAGCGAGGCCAGGATGGCAGTCAAGATTTCGTTCCTTTGTTCCACGGGGACCCCCTCTCTTCGAACCTCATGAAGCACCGTATTTGTCTAGAAGAAATGATCCAAAAAAAGAGAAAGAGTGAAAAATTAATAATACAAAAAAAGCCCATAAGCAAATAGGGACAGTAAATCAATGGCTTTTTTATTACAGTTCCCCTGCTAACAAATCAATACAGTAAATGATGGTCAAAAATGGCTGGCATATATTTCGTGTTTAATCAATGTACATGCACAGAGGTGAACCCAGAAGCCCGGCTGCCTTAAGTAACACACCAGCACCCTGCGCGTTCCTGCTCTAATTCTCTCGGCGCACAGTGATTCTTTCCCTGGGAATTACCCACCATGAGCTATTATTAGAAATGATTTTCATGGACTTCACTGTGCTTGTTTTGCCTTTTAAAAACGAGCAGTCTCTGGCTTTCCCTCCCTGCATTTCCCGCCACCCGGCCCATCTTGCTGTGCTGCCTCTCTCCCTTGAATCAGTCATGTCTACCTCCAGCCAGGCCAGCAAGTCTGCTGTGGTCGTTCACTTATTTTCCTTGCCTTTTGCAAATTGAGATCTTGCAAAGAAAAAAAGAAAAGCACAGAAAGGAAAAAAGGTATTATGTCTCACTACATATTTCAAATAATATGTACAGGGATTCTTCTGCTTTTAGACTTATGATTTGGGGAAGAATTGCTCATTCTATGGTCATGACTATGATCCTTTAAAAAATTAGGCTCATAGCCCGGCCAGTGTGGCTCAGTGGATTGATGGTGGTCCCATGGACTGAGAGGTCCCAGTTCGATTCCAGGTCAGGGCACATGCCCAGGTTTCAGGCTCGATCCCCAGTAGGGGGCATACAGGAGGCAGCCAATAGATGTTTCTCTCTCACACTGATGTTTCTATCTCTCTCTCCCTGCCTCTCTTTCTTCAAACAAACAAACAAACAAACAAAAATCAATAAAAAACATGTTTTAAAAATAAATAAAAATTGTTTAAATATCATGTGGGCCAAACAAGAAACACCAGTGGCTGAACAGAATTAGAGCAGCTGTCAATTTGCAACCCTAAGGGTAAGAGAGTCTCATTTCAGAGAGGTGCTGGCGTCAGTGTCTGGGACACCCAGACACCCTACAAGATATACTCAGAGCTGAAAGGGTCTCAGAAAGTCATGCAGTCATCACTATGTCTGTGGGTACATATTGTTTTCCCCAAATGCAAAAAAGCTTCAATTAGAAGACAAAGTACACATCTAGATGGTTCCAAAGACATCATGAAAAGAAAACTATTTCTCAATTTGACTGTATTAAAATAACTTTTTAAAAATGTCATTTAAACTATGTGTGGTGCCAGGTGGGTACTAGAATTATCAGGGGGATCACTTCATGAATTATATTCATTATCTAACTACTACACTGTACACCAGAAATCAATATACTGTTGGATGTGAACTGTAATTGAAAAATTAAAACAATAAAAATGTCATTTATCTCTTCTCTGCCTTGCACAGTGTTTACATTTTATCCAGAGACCCTTGCTCTCCAGGAACAGCCTTGGAGAGGGAAGGAGGGTCCGAAAAGCAAGTCTCACGAGAGCAGAGGGACCTTGTCTGCTTGGTCACCCCTGTGTCCCCACCACTTGCCTACTGGTTCCCAATAAATATTTGTCAAATCAGTGAATAAAGAAGAAACTTGAAAAACAAATATTACAAAAACAAGTGGCCATGAAAGATTGTCTTCTTAGAAATTGTTACGACATGAACGTAACTCATAAAACAGAGAGGCTAAGAGACGGGTAGGTATGCTAGCAAGGAGCTCTCTGCACTTGCCAGGGGCATTTACTTCGAGGTCTTTTTAAATAACCAGATTCCCTAGTTCAGAGTTTCCCAAGCTTCAGTCATTACAGCATGTTCTCCTAATTCTTGCCACATTTGCATATAAGCCATATAATATTTAATTTTTTCTTTAAATGGACCCATTTTTTAAACCATAAAATAAATTCATTTCAGAAGAAAAATGAAAAACTTAGTGGTACTTGTCATAAGTGAGAAGATAACCGTACAAACAGCACACTAATAACACAGCTCTGTGTTTATTTCATGTCTGGGCTTGCTGAGGCTGAGAGACTGGAGCCCGCGCCCCCTCTGGGAAAGAAACGTGGACGAGTGACAGAGAGGGCCACAGACATATAGGTTAAAGGAAGACCTTGACAGAACCACAGGGGCGGAAAAGGAGCTGAAGAGGAACTCACTTTCGCACAGTGTGGTCCTCACTGTGGGCAGTCCTGGAGCGCCACCTAGCACCTGCCACCTAGCACCTCCTTGGGTAACACCCATGGTTCGCACACCCCACCCATGGTTCACACCCCCACCTCCACTCTGGATGCATTGTCCTATTGCAAGGGTCTCGAAACTCTTCACAGATGAACCTCCTTTCTCCCAAATGTATTCTTATACACAACTCAACCTAAAAAACTGGAACAGTTCTCTTTGAAGCTGGTAAAAAAGACTAGGGTCTCTCCCTTTGTCAAGAGGCGTCTCTTCAAAACCCCAAGGATCGGTGAAACACAATTTGCCAACCTCAACCCAAGAGCATTTAGAATAACATTCAAGTGTTTTCAAGTTTATGCACTGTTGGTGGGAATGCAAACTATAGCTATTCTAGCAAATGATTTGGCGGTTTCTTACAAAAGTTAACAGACCCAGAAATCCCATTCCTAGGGATTCATCTGAAGAAATTAAAACCTTATGCTCAAACAAAAACATGTACACAAGTGTTTATGGCATCTTTATTCGTAAGTGCCAAGAACTGGAAACAACCAAAATGTCCTTCGAAGGTAATGGATAAATGCACTGTGGTACATCCATACAATGGACTACTTACTGCTCAGCAATAAAAAAGGGGCCAGTAGCTGACCTATGCCACCACTCAGGTGACCACCAAAGGCATTATGCCGAGTGAAAGGGGCCAGTTTCAAAAGATTAAACCCTGAATGATCCCATTTATTTGACAGTCCAGGCAAGGAAAATTATAGGGATGAAGAGAAAATCAGTGGTTGCCGGGATTAGGTTGGATGAGTGTTATTACAAAGGGGCAGCATGAGAGAATTTCTGGAAAGATGGGACTACTCTGTTTCCTGATTGCAGTGGTGGTTACATGATTTTATACAGATGTTAAAACTCATGACTGTATATCCCAAAACAGTCTATTTGATCATATAAAAATATTATGAAATTTATTTTTTAAATTCATTGTCCCCACATTTTAGGACAAGAAGGAATGTAGAGAACACTTTTACATACAAATACATCTCATAAACAAGTAGTTAGGAAAAATATGGAGAAAGATATCTGGATGACAAAACAAAATCTGTTACAAAATTGTTTTAATATTGGAAAAGGACGGGTAAACTTGGACGGCGCATTCAGACCCTAAAATATCGTATTTCTTAAACTTCAGAGTGAAAAGTCGCACAAATGGCAAGCACAGTGCCGAAGAGCACTCTCTGCAAGTATTCCCGCTCCCCTGGGGTGCTGGGTCCCCAAGGGCTCACTTGCACAGGAAATGTGAGTAGCCCATTTTCCCATCAGTAACACAGAACTATCTTCAAACAAGTACCAGTTTTTAAACAGTCTCCTACTCCCCAAAAACACGTTCTTCCTCTTCGACCCTCAGAAGTAGGGAAAGTGAACCACAGGTTTGGGAATCTTGTTCCGGAGATTGAAGTTCACCTCACTGTAATTCTTTTTCCACAAAAACCTATGGAAACACTGGTGCACAGGAAAGACTGAGAGTGATTTTGAGAAGGCTGGCTGTTGAAATTCTGGCTGTCACCTCCGAGCTGTGGGCTTTTCCACAGTCGCAGGATGGAGCTAACAGGACCTCTCCACAGGTTTGGGGGGACACCTGCTCAGTACAGATGCCACTGTGATTATTACTGTTCAGTTTCATCTTAAACTCACTCATTAACCTGTGCTAGGTTATGTTTTGTTTTTTTAATAATCCTCACCTAAGGATATTTTTCCATTTATCTTCAGATGGAGTGGTGGGGGGGGGAATATCTATGCAAGAGAGACACATCGATTGGTTGCCTCCCACACGACGCCAACCAAGGCCGGGGACCGAACCACAACTGAGGTACGTGCCCTTGACCGAAATCGAACCCACGACTCTTTGGTCCTCAGGCCGATGCTCCAACCGCTGAGCCAAATTGGCCAGGGCTGTGCTATTTTAATAAAAAGGTTCCCGTACGATCTCTCACTGTAAAAGAAAAACTTGCAAAAGCAATCAGGCAGCCACTGACCACTCAGGACCATGAAGGGTCCCCACCAGGAGCCAGAGGCATACTCCTCTGCAAATCCCCAGTGGTAGCAAACGTGTCCCTTGAGGGTGGGTTTCACTTTTAGAATCACTCCTAATGTCACTTGACGTTTCTCCATTAGTAGACACCGCTCTCTCGGGCCACCACCCCACCCTTGTCCTGTCCTCCTTAGTCTCATGGCGTCACTTGTGCTAGGACCCTCAACTGTGGTTAGCCCACAGCTACCTCTGGATCTCCTCCCTTCCTTCTGCTCTCTCTGTGGGTGAGCTCACGCTCCAGCGGCTGTAGGGTCCCCTGCAGACTAATGGCACCTACATGTCTACCTTCAGATGGAGTTCTAGCCCCACGGACAAGCACCTGGCTCTCTCCTTGACCGCACCTCAAACACAGCCTCTCAGCCTCCACAGACCCACGTTTGAAAGGACAGTTCTTTGCCCTCCAACCACTTACCTTCGGGCCAACCTGCTCCCCCTCTCCTGTGTTCCCAGAGGGCAAATAACATCGCGATCAATGCCACCATCAAACTCGACACCCAGGAATCACCCTAATGCCCTCCTCCCGTCCCCTGCACTGCCCAGACCTGAACACAGAACCCTGTCACGCCGCTCGGTAGGACTCAGGCGCACCTCTTCCCCGCTGCCGTAGGCTTCGTCCAGGCCCCTCTCTCTTCTGGACCACGAAATGTTGGCCAAACTGGTGTCTCTGTGCCAATTTCACCCCTTTTGTGACTTTTCTCCTATAAGAA